TGGAACAGCTGGACATGAACCAATGCCCGCATGGGATGCCAGCATTGCATGCACCTGCATTATCAGCACACAGTAATGCCAGCCCCTCCATGAACGAAGCCTTTGAATATAAATAGTTACTCAAACTTATTTTCTTTCGGGCAGTGACCTTTTCCTGGTCCACAGCCACAGAAAGCACCTAATAACATGGTTTTATTAAGCTAGCATTGTCATCAGGTAAGATTCAGTAACACTGTACACCAAGATAGTGTCATTTCACTTCTCCCTTGCCGGAAGATAAAGATACACTCTTACAGTGTATAATGTGGACTGGAGTTTTGCCAGTCCGTGACTCCTCCATGAATCTAGATATTTCTTCCCAGTACACAGCAATAAGACGAGTGCTTTCCTGGGCATCCGGGACAGCATGTATATCACTAGTACTTATTCTGCCAAAAGCTGCCATTGAGCAGAGCCCTTGGGAGTCTTACCAAGCAACAAATGGAAGGGAGAGGAGGGGAGATCAGGGACAGCTTTTAAAATCGACTTTTATTCTGCTTAAAGTCAAATGGAATAGGATGACCTGCTTGTAGACATCTCTCCGTGGCACCAATCCAAGGAAGTCAGTTGTGTATTGATCCCTAACATTAGGATGTCTGTATTAAACTTGGTTCTGGGGATGTATTTCATAACAAATGGGGCTTCTTGAAAACCACTTGTATCCGTGTGAGGGCTTCATAACAGTATATTTGCTTAAAATATGGTAGTTTTAAGATAGGGTCATTTTGAGGAAAAGGAGGGCTTTGTATTCTCCCTGCCAATTTCCTTGTGCGTTGGCTAGTGGTTTTGATAGTGATTTGTTCTGGTCTATTAACTGTAGGAACTCTTAGGTGTCCCATTTGCTTTTTCCTTCTATTGAGTTTATCCCTTCCATTACGAAACTTCCGTTCTTCTGCTTCCTTGACCTGTCCCTCATTTTCATATCTCTTGACTTGGGGCTTATTTACTCTTAATCAGGTATAAGAGTAAAGACTAAGGAAAAAAAATCTTAACAAAGCAAATGCTGGTATAAAACCCAGACTCAGTGAACTTGGAAAGATTTCTTGATGGAGGTGGCATTGAAGCTAAGCCTTAAACAATGAATAAATAGAGTTGGCCAGGTAAAAATGGGGGTGGGGGGGACTCTGCACAGCATGTGCAAAGGCCCCTAGGCAGGAAGAACTGGATCCTGGTAATTGTGTATGGTTCAAAGAATAGAATTAAGAGATAAGGAATTATTATAAAGGATCTGAAGAGAGAAACTTGGAAAGGGCTCCTTGGATAAGAAAAAAGAGTTCTGGTTTTGTTTGGAGAGCAGACAGAAGCCAGTTAATGATTTTAATTAGGTAAGTAATATAGTTTGATTTTTTTTATACTAAGGATTACCTCTGGACAATTGAGGAGAATGGTTTGAGTAGGGCAATTTTAGGGAGAAAAAAGAACGTTAATTTCTACTATGTACTAGGTACTGTATTGTTAAATACTTTTTGGTAGGATACTGCAGATTTGAAATCTGAATGATGTAAATTGAGCACAGTGATCCATATGGAAAGTCTATGCAAGATAAATGTATTCAAAATTGGTAATTTAAAGTGCCGGCCAGCAAAGCTCTGGTGGCTGTGCCCCATTGCCCCTGGTGTGTGATTTGTGCACCTGAGACAGTAGACTGTCTAAACTTCACATCACCATGTGCAGCCATGTGGTTCTGTCACAGTAGAAGTGATTACTGAACAAATCTTTCTCATTCCAGAGAGTTATATGCTAATTAAAATATCTAACTGAAGAAATGTGTGTGTGCTTAGAAAGCATTCTGCCAGTACCTGTCATTCTTGAGTAGAGGAAGAAGACAGTTGAAAATCAGAGCTTGTTTTAAAAAAGCTAATTTTTACTCTAGTTCAGAGATTTTCTGAACAAGTTACCTTGAGCGTAAGATTATTTAACTAATAACAGGTAACTGCTGTGCGTCTCCATTTTCACATGTTCAAACGAAAAACACAAGAAGAGTTTTCAGTGCTTTACTTGAAAGAAAAACTTCGCTCATTATCAATGAACAGATTATAGTCCCTGTCAAAAATTAAGTTACTCAGAATCGTCCCTGCAAGAGCACAAATGAGGGTTGGCATTATTTAAGTTGAAGGAGTCTGAGAAAATACTTGAAGGTGGCTTTTAACTGTTTGCTTTACCACTCTCGAGTAGTATGAAGTCAAAAAGAATCTTTCATCATCTGGAAAAATTTGCACAAAAATGTGCTTACATCTCAGCAATAACACATAGACTTTTATAAAAAGCTAGTTCCTAATAGTGCTAAATATTTAATTTTCTTTTTTTAAAGATCAATTTATTTATTTGAAAGGCAGAGTTACACAGAGGGAGAGAAGGAAACGAGAGAGAGAGGGAGAGGGAGAGGGAGAGGGAGAGGGAGAGAGAGAGAGAGAGAGAGAGAGATCTTCCATCCGCTGGTTAGCTCCCCAAATGGCCACAACAGCTGGAGCTGGGCAGGAGCCAGGAGCTTCTTCCAGAGCTCCCACATGGGTAGAGGGGAACGAGTACTTGGGCCCTCCTCCACTGCTTTCCCAGGCACATTAGCAGGGAGCTGGTTCAGAAATGGAGCAGCTGGAACACGAACTGGCCTCCATATGGGATGCCAGTGTAGTAGGTAGCTGCCTTACCCATTATGCTACAATGCTGGCCCCTAAATATTTAAATTCCAAGCTATTATTGTATTTTCCTATTTTGATATCATATTTTCTTAACCATTTTATTGATTTTGTGTGATACTAATGTATTAGTCATTTTATTGTTTATATTTTTAAGCATTCAATCACACTTAATATTGTGCAACATGTTATTAAATTGGATGTTTGGATTGTGACAAACATTCAGATAAGTCATTTTATTTTATGAATCTGGACTTTTAACTCTGCCAAAAAATAAATATTGAAGAAATAATAATGTTTCCATCTCCCCTGGTACTTCTTTCATTAGCAAAACAGTTAAAATCCTGTTGTAGTCATCCATTCATGATGCTGGGTTGAACTTACACTGTTACGATTGAAGGGAAAAAGCAAAAAAATAGATGGATTTCAAATTAAAGGAGAAAGAATCAGCAAGACCTGCCAGTTTGGGGATATAGTATATTCCAAGAGGAAGGAAAAGAACATTTGGTGCCACTCCTCTGAACTCTAAATGTAAATAGAACATTAGCATTCGCATCAAGATGAACTACATATAAGGACAAAGAGGAGGAAAGCTGAGAAGAGAGGGATTAAAACATGAGAAGCAGCGAGACCAGCCGCAAACAGCATCCCTTCAGTAAATGCTGCACTTCAGTGATTAAAAGCTCTAAAAAGTAATGCCACATTCCCTGCCACCACTATCCTGCGTTTCGGAAGCTTTATCTACACTGGCACACCAGGAAGAATCTGAGGCCTCTTTGAGACAGCAGAGAGTTGAGTTATAAAGGAAGTAGACAGGGAATGGCCAGTAGCTGGGAGTATCACAGGACTTCGCACAGCTCCTGAAACCCGAGTTATCTTGAATCAGAATAGAGCCGGGCCTCTATAGTTTATTAAATAAGTGAATAAGTGAGGTTGAGCAAAGATTCCAGTCTTTCTACTAGGAATGCAGTGTGTGTGTGTGTGTGTGTGTGTGTGTGTGTAGGACTTATGTATCCCCACATCCCAACAATGAAAATATGAATATACTTCCCCAGAAAGGTGACTGTACAACATGATTATTTCCCTAGTGTGGTTAGTATATTTCTTGAGTACTTTACAGGTTAATTGACCTCTTAATACCTGATCAAAGAACTTAGCATCCTTTATTTGAAATTTGGAATACACTTTCCCATTTTAAAAATGCTGTTAGAAAATAATTTAAGGGATAGTTATTTATACTCTATATTATTTATACTCTATATTAAATTGGAAAATTTTATTACGGAGAGTCAGTTCCAAGGGCATCTAGGTCCATCAATGAGCTACTCTAATAAATGTTAAGGAGATGACTTAGAATTGCTGTTTAGTTTTTAGCTTGTGAGAACCTTGATTCTTTTCCCTTTTTTTTTTTTTTGTTGTTTTGTTTTATCTTCTCTTTCCCCTATTTGCTGTATATTTTGAAATTCATGTTGTATGAGGATACTTTAGAAAGTCCATGAGAAAATGGAATTGATTGGCGCTTTGTTGATCCCCCAAAATTTGGAATCCATGCAGTTTTTTCATAATACATATCTTCCATAAATGTTAAAATCTATTTATTTTACATTATATATTTGAAAGAGAGGGAGAGCTCCCACTTGCTAGGTTTCTCCCCAGTTGCCTGCCCTGGCCAGGGCTGGGCCAGGCCAATGCCAGCAGACAGGAACTCAGGCTAGGACTCCTGTGAGGGTAGCAGTGACCCAAGGCCTTGAGCCATCATCTGCTGCCTCCCAGAATGCGCATTTGAAGGAGCAGAGCTGGGACTTGAACCCAGGCCCTCTAGTATGGGATGCGGGTGTCCCAAATGGCTGCTTATTCCCTTCAAGAAATGCCTGTCCTCCCCGTGAACTTTTTGAAGGTCCCTGTACTTCATGTAAAAAGGATGTTTTATGTAACTCCTTTCCTTCCTATTCCAAGTTTGAAAATTCTAAGGAGAGGGCTTAAAATTTTAATCCTCTAATTGTCGAAAAGGCTGCAAGCATTAAGCAGCTTATGGAGGGCTCGAGTTGTGCTGTTTGTTTCCTGTGATTTGAGTGGAGAAGAGCCACACAAAAGCCTGTGTTTGGCAGTGGTCAGACAGACGGCTGTTCTGGCACTCAGTGGGATCTCTGATACCTTGGTATTGGTTGATTTTTGGCACCATTAAAATGAAAATGAGGTCAAGCACCTCGGATATATTGAAGTTCTTTGAACTGTCAACTAAAAGTGGTTTCTCAAGGGTCAGGACATCTTGAGGTCCTACTGAGGACAAGCAATGGAAGAGATTTCTTCTGATTTTTCTTTCAGGAATCTCTACCACGGGACCCCTGGGCATGGGCAGCACGACCACCAGTACCACGCTCCGAACCACAACGTGGAACCAGGGCAGGAGCACCACGCCATCCGTGCCCGGCAGGAGGAACCGGAGCACCAGCACCCCCTCTCCAGCTGTCGAGGTGCTGGATGACGTCACCACACACCTTCCATCGGCATCGTCCCAAATGCCAGCTCTGGAAGAGAGCTGCGAGGCTGTGGAAGCCCGAGAGATCATGTGGTTTAAGACCCGCCAAGGACAGACAGCCAAGCAGCCGTGCCCTGCGGGGACTATTGGTAAGTCCATCCCAGAGCTAAGCTAAGGACCTCGTCTTCCTTTGGCTTCATTTTCTAGGGCCCTTTCCTTTCCTTTGCTTTTTTTGTTATAGGTTGGTTGGTTGGTTTTGGTTATTTCCTATTTTGTAACTTTACATTTGAGTGCATGTTGGACTCAGATGAATTGCAATGCAAAATTTGAAAATGCACCTGAAGCCACACATGAGAATTTGGTGCGACTAGGAGGGGACTGGTTGATTCTACACAGAGCATCAGGTCTTGGGGTCAAGGCATAGTTAGGCGCAGGTGCTGGCCCCTGCAGAGCGTCACCTCCCTGGGGTGAGTCACTTGCATGCTGGGAGTTGGTCTCATGTTTGTCACCCACCTTGTGGTAACCAATTGCAGAAAATGAGGTCGAGTATTTCTGTGTTAGAAGATCGCTGAAACAGCCTAAAACTGAACAAAGCAGAAAGTCGATTATACCATTAAGGAGTTGGCCTCTGGTGGTCAAGGGCTCTTAGCATTGTTAGGGAGCACACTGGCATCAGGCACCCTCCTGCTAGGTCCTGCCTCCACCGGACAGAGCTGTGTCTCCTCCAGGGAGGGTGAAAAACTGAACAACTCTCTGCTCACTGTTTTAAGAACATGATTTTTAATATACCCAAATGCTAACCATCTTCTTAGTTACCATATTTAAGGCAGAAATAGACTGATCTATGTAAAATGTGAGAAACAAGTATTATTTGCATTCCTCCCTGAAAATTGGTACCTAAGTGGAATACACAAGAGATGTCACTCTGCATTCGGAAGGGCCTGCTTACTGAGTGTTACTGATTTCATTTCATTAAGGACAAAAGGTTTCTTAAGGCAAGTCAAATACAGGTATATCATTCCACTTCCAATGTATGAGGGCAATTCAAAATATTCATGGGAATTATAATTAAAAGGTTCAACTTATTTTGATGCCAAAAAATTTGGTATCTATACTTCAAAAAGTTTATGGGAGAAGCATATTACAAAAAAACTATGTATGGACTCCAAAATGTTTTGCATCAAAATTAACTGTCGCTCCCCGTCTTCATGGAGGAACGACACAGGACCCTGCGCTGTTCTTTTGTCTGCTCGGCCCTCCCCGGGTTTGCTGCTGGTTCTTCCCGGGTTGGCTACTGTCCCTTCCACCTCCGTGGAAGGGCGGTTCCCCCTGCCACTTTCCCCACTTCCGCAGGGGAGCGGCACACCGCCGGCCGGCTCTCTCGGGGGCTGCACAGGTGTTCCTTCAGATAGATGTTCCTGGTGCATGTTGTCTCTCTCCTCCTTTATAGTCCTCCTCTGCCAATCCCAACTCGGCTGCCCACACGCCGAGTACGCTGCTCTCCTCCAATCAGGAGCAGGTCCTGCTGTTTATTGGTTGAACTGGAGGCAGCTGTGTAGAAGCTGTTTCCTCCTCTCCCAGCGCCATATTGTGGGAGAGCAGATACATAAAATAAGTCTTAATTCAAGTAACAGTCTAGTGCCAGTTGCTCCCCACAATTAACCTATCCTTTAAAATTTATTTTCCTTTGTGTTTAATTTGAAAGGCAGAGAGAGTTAAGGAAACTGACATAGTGAGGGAGAGAGCTCTTGCATCCACTGGATTACTCCCCAAATGCCCACAGTAGCCAGGACCAGATCACACTGAGGTCAGGAACTTGGAACTCCAACCTGGTTTCCCACATGGGTGGCGGGGACCCAGTCCTTGACCCCTCACTGCTGCCTCCCTGTGTGCATTAGCAGGAAGCTGGATCCCAAGTGCCCAAGTGCAGGTGGGTTGTTTCCACCATGGAGTTCATTGTGAGAATTTTGCAGAAGCAAGGCTGTGCCTGAATTGTTGGTTTTAAGATTTATTTATTTATTTGAAAGGCGGGAGATTTATTTATTTATTTGAAAGGCAGAGGCAGAGAAAGAGAGAGAGAGAGAGAGGTCTTCCATCTGCCGATTTACTCCCCAAATGGCTACAATGGCCAGAGCAAAGCTGATCCAAAGCCAGGAGCCTGGAGCTTCCTCTAGGTCTCCCACATGGGTCCAAGGGCCCAAACACTTGGGCCATCATCTACAGCTTTCCCAGGCCATAGCTGGGAGCTGGATCGGAAATGGAACAGCCGGAACTGGAACCAGCACCCAAAGGGGTGCTAGCACTACAGGCGGCATCTTTCTCCTCCGTGCCACAGCAGCGTCCCCTGCACCTGAGTGTTACAGGAACCTATACAAACCTTTTTCAGGGGCAGTGAGAAGGGCAGGAAAGGCAATTCCAGTTGGAGGAAAAATATGCTGTCTTTGGGAAACATTACATTTTTCAAATTGGGGTCTGCTGGTTGGGGAGTTTAGTTAATGAAGCTGGACAGGTAGGCAGTGTGCACTCTGTCGTGGATTCTGGAAAGTCAGTGACAGACATGAAGCAGAGGACAGCAGTGGCAGACTAAGGTTTCAGAAAGATAGCTCCAGCAGCAGCGTGGAGGATGAATCTGACGGAGTGAGGAGGTTGCAAGGAAGGCTTTGCAATAATCCAAAGTATCCAGAATCAGCAGAGAAGGGTAGCATTAAGACGAAGGTGTATACAGTAACTGGTGAGGACTGCACAAAGTTTGCATTAAAGCCCCCTTCCCAGTTTCCCCAGAACAATAATGACACATTACTGTAGTGCAGAGTGCTCTCAGATTTCCCAAATCCTCACAATAAATGTCTGAAGTCAGGGCTACTGTCCATCCTCCTCCAGTTGAAGGGACAAGAGATCAGCACTGTGGCACCGTGGGTTAAGCCACCTCCTGAGACTCCAGCATTGGATCACCAGTTGGAGCCTGATCCAATTCCCTGCTTATGTGGCTGGGAAGGCACCAACAGATGACCCCAAGTCCTTGGGCCCCTGCCACCCACATGGGAGACCCAAATGGAGTTGTTCCAGGCTCCTGGCTTTGGCCTGGCCCGGTCGTGACCATTGTGGCCATTTGGGTAAACAAGTAGATGGAAAATCTCCTCTCTCTCCCTTCCTCTGTCACTCTGCATTTGAAATAAATAAAAGAATAGCGAATTAAAAAAAAAAAAAGGTGAAGGGACTGAGGCCCAGAACTAAGGGGACAGAGCAAGTAAGCAGATCCCAGACTATTTTCCAATTCCAATATCTCAAAAAACTTAGAAGTAAATATTCTCCCTCTTTTTCATAAAGGGATATGGAAGACTTATGAATATTTTTCAACACGTTGCTGAAAAAAAATTAAATGTGCACTTTTATAAAAACAAAGATACCTTCTCATCTTCTCACACCTTCCTGTAGAAGGGTATTTCAAAAAGGTCATGGAAAATCAGAATATTTCTGCCTTAAAAATGGTGACTAAGAAGATGGCTAACATTTAGGAATATTGTGAATCATGAAATGATTCCCATCAAATGTAGCTTCCAGCATGTGATTTAAAAATATTGAATATTTCTGCTTGTTGCTCTACTTTTCTCCAGTGCCAAGTGCTTACCAGTCACTATATCTAGTGTCTTGATAAGCATTATCTCAATTGCGTTATCCCTTTTTAACCTTCCTTCATATTTAAATAGCATGAATGGGAAGTCATTCTGGGAAAAATGTCTTTGGATATTCCAACAGCTGTCTTTGCCTGGTTATTTAGGTGTGTCCACTTATCTATGCCTTGCTCCTGATGGGATCTGGGATCCCCAAGGTCCTGACCTCAGCAACTGTTCTTCTCCTTGGGTCAACCATATCACACAGAAGGTAAGTCTTGTGACCAACAAGGAACGTGTTGCAAACCTGTATCCTCTGGTGTTGATAACTGCTTAAAATTCTCCCATTGTTATTGAGTGTTAGGTTTAATGATGACCTCTTATGTGCTAAATGCTAATTCAGCAATTTAGTTGTTTTAAAGTGCAAATTCATGAACTTTCAAGTCAGGTACTATTGCTTATTATAGTATCCCTATTAAGCATTTCTATGGTATCGTCAACTACAGATAGAAAAGTCCAAGAGGCATTAAAAATCACCCAAGCAAATGTGTGTAGCATACATGCAGAAGGATTTTCCTGTGGGAATAATTAGAAGAAAAACAGGCTACCTTTGTCATCTTGAGTCGTTGGATAAATGTTCTGTAAGCTCATCATTTATCAGTGATAAAAGTATGCACGTGTGTGACAGAGCATTTCGGACTCAGATTTGTAGGGCTTATTTGGTTGCAATATGTTGGACATTTTTATTATTAATGCACTGTGGGGCTTTGAACTGATTTCATTACAGACGCAGAGCAGATGTGCCTTCATGCCAGCAGGGCCATGGGATGAATCCTTATTATCACAATTTCTGTGGATTTACGCACTTCTGTAAAGGAGCGTCCGTCTATGGCACATTAGCTGCGCTGAGGAATTTCCAGGAGAGACTTTTCCTGAGAAATATCACAGATGATTGCCTTATTAAAAGCTCGCCTCTGCCACTCGCAGTCTTCTCTATTTGTTTTTAACCAGGCTTGTCCTCAGTAATACACTGGATAATAATCCATCAGTATCCGCCCAGATCATCTAGCAGATGAGCCACAACCATCTCTTTCCACTCAATCGTGGGCGACGGTGGTTCTGTGGACTCCACCTGCATCCCCACACTTGTTGCTATCCATAATGATGCTGCTCCAGTCTCAGCATTGCTCCTGCCAGGGGTTTTACTTTACATCCTTTGATTTTCTTACAATGTAGCTCAGACCCCAGGGCAAATAACTCGTACTGGATGTGATCAGATTAAGCGATCAGTAGCATATCTTCTTACATTAGCAACTTAAAAAAAAATACTCCCTAGAAATTTAGCCTGGGGTTAATATAAATTCAATAATAATTCACCTAGAAAGCTCAGTGTTTTCATGGTAATTCCTGAATATAGTTGAACTGTTTCATTATAGAAATTGCTGGATGACTTTAGCTGATAATGATATTTAATTCCTTTCTTTCCTCTGAAGCCCTGCTAATCTTAACACAAAAGAGATCATTCCTTTCACAGTCGAGACAGCTGTTGCCCATTTGATTTGTAGATGGAGTGTCTTTGTTTTGTCATAAACATATCCTGTTCTTCCAGGATATTTCTGTGTAATCCTGGAGAGTCTATAAAATTATGTTATACTGTCATTATATGAAAGTTAAAGAACTTAGGCAATTAGAATGTGAGATAATACCTAGGACTGATTATTCATAATTGCATAAAATCTTGAGAACTGTAACAGGAAGCTTGGGAGCCCTTGGAATCAGCTTCCGAATGCCCCCAGATGAGTAGGGGAGCTCAGGTGCTGGCTGGGTCCTCCATGGAGACATCGTGCTTGGACACAACACTGGATAAACTGTGAATATGTTAGGGCAACCTTAGCCCCACCCTCACTCGCCTCTGCTGTCTCTCTTCAGTCTTCCCATCCTTTTACCTGGCTCTGCCTCTTGAATCTCCAGACATTTATATGACTCACTGAGTATGGATGAAAGTGGCTCAGGTTCCTTTACCGCAAAGCTCCACCCCTTAAAATTATTAGCAGGGTAAGTGTTAGGAAAAGAGATGCAGATTGGTGCCTCCTCACACGGGGCACCGAGATGTTGGGAAAAGAATGTATGAATTTACAGCCAGACCGAATTTATTCTGAGAAAATAAATCTGTAGAGGTGAGTGACCGACTGCCGGTGTGCACACTGATGGAGCAGGTGGCAGAAGGCCCTGACCCCCAGGGGCTGGGCCTTTTTATCTTTTAGGAGGACTAGGGATGAGGGTGGGGTAGGGGGCAGCAGGCAGAGTTCCTGGAACTGGGCGGGACCTTGGGAGCTTGGGGAAGAATGCAGTGTGGGATATGAAGGCAATAGGGTGTGAGACCCAATTGAGATTCAAGGGCAGGGAGTACATTCCAGTGTTTATCTGTCTTTTGGGCAATGAGCAAGAGCGGCTGAGGCTTAGTCCTTGTTCTATCAGTAAGCCTTCAACAGAGAATCTGTCAGCACTGTACACAGAGCTGTTTGTCTGTAATATTCTCTCTGTCCTCCCCAAAGCATCTTCCACAGAATTCATCCACTTCCGTCTCCTGCCTCGGTCCCAGAGCCCCAACAACAAGCAGATGGAACGTAAGAGCAGGATTTGCACCCAGTGGTACTGGCAGCAAAGGCAGGCCGCACACCAGATTGAGCAGGAACCCAGAGCGGAGGGGAAGAGCTGCTCCGAGCCCCAGCCCTGGGTGATGCCCGGTGGAGTGACCAAAAGTGGGAAGCACAGTGGCCTTGAGAGGACGGATGACCTGTGGCCAAGGGACACAGCCTGGCCTTGGGCGAGGGATCTAGGGGATGACGTACCCTGACCTCACCTGCCTCCTTCCTCTGTCCACCTGCCAGCCATCCTGAAATTGGAAAAGACCCCCTAAAATTTACCCTGAAATGTGGCCCCTTAAAGTTCCCTAGAAATGCTATCTGGGGTGCCACATGTGCTACTGGAATTTGGGGTGCCTTATGATTTTACCACGGGCTTATTACTAAATCCCCGATATTAATAAGCCCGAGAGGGTTCTTACAGAATATTTAGAGAAGAATTCTAAATACAGGCACAGATAAATGAGGCAGCATGGTACATTTTAAGCTTTTATTTAGTGAGAAAGATGCATAGGAGAGTGAGAACTTTATTTAGGAGAGAGAAGTGAATGGGGGTTCATACCGAGCACCAGGAACCAGCCACGTGGAAGAGCATCTAGGCCAGGAAGCCTAGAGCACATGTCCTGAAGGCCATGCGCCCTGGAGGCGAGGGCTACAGCAAGCCCTGTCCTGGCAAGACACCAGGGAAGAAGAGCAGGGCACGGGCACACTGTGCCCTAGGCTTTTAACCCACTCCAAAGGGGAGTGGTTAAATAACCTGATTGGCTGGTGGGCACCCCGGTGTGGCCAGGTAGGAGCATGAGGTCACACAGGGGCGTGGTCTTCCAGTTCACAAATCTGATCAATTTTAACCTGTATGCCTGCCTCCTTCAGTCCCATTGGCCACACCCAGCCAGAAGCCCTGCAGAAAGGAAGCCCTTAATGACTGAGTTCATCTCTTCCGGCAGAAAGCAGGAAGGTGCAGGTAGCAAGTGGCCCGGAGCTAGCAGGAAAAAGCACCAATTAGTACGCGTTTTCTCTGTCCCCTCCTGCCTCCTTTCTCTTCCATTGGTTTCTTCCCTTTTCCGATTTCCTTTTTCTCCTCCTCCCCTCCTCCCCCTCCACATTTCTCTGAATTTTTTCTGCCATGTGCAAAAAGTAAAGTGAAATAGTTGTCTTCACTCATTTGGTCCATTGTCTCCCCATTGGCGTCACTCTATAAATTTCTAACTTTTAAAGCAAAGAGTACGTTGGGCCCCAGAGAAAATATAGGAGAAAAACCAACAGAGTCGAGTTTGTTGTTGTTGTCATCATGTTAAAAGGTGATTTTCCTTGAAACGGGGTGGTTCCCTCCTTGAGAGTGGATTGAGTGGATACAGCCTGAAGGGTGAGGCTGTCTCGACCTCTCCAGGCTGCAGGGAGGAAACACTGAAGAGTGAGCAGCTGGTAAACAGAAATTCCCTTCCCACAGCTCTAGTTCTGGAGGCTGGGGAATCCAAGACGAGGCTGCAGGCAGATTCCTTATCTCACTAATTAACCTGCTTTCTGGCTCCAGGGGAGGGGGCCAGCCATCTCCTAGTGTCCCTTTCAGAAGGCACTAATCCTGCTTATCAGGGCTGGGCCCTCAGGACCTAATCACCAACCTCAGGCCCCACCTGCTAACACTCTCACTCTGTGGGCTGAGCTTCAACACAAGAATTCTGGGGGACACAACCACTGAGCTGGTAGCAGCCTCCCTCTGGGATTCATGGTGCTGGGAGCACATCACTGGCCTGAAAGGTTTTTTGTTTGTTTGGTTTGGTTTGGTTTTTCTAAGATTTATTTATTATTTGAAAGTCAGAGTAGCACAGAGCGAGAGAGAGGTCTTCCATCCAATGGTTCACGGCAGGAGCTGCGCAGATCTGAAGTCAGGAGCCAGGAGCTTCTTCCGAGTCCCACATGTGGGTGCAGGGGCCCAAGGACTTGGCCCATCTTCTACTGGTTTCCCAGGCCATAGCAGAGAGCTGGATTAGAAGAGGAGCAGCTGGGTCTCAAATCAGCACCCATATGGGATGCCGGAGCTTCAGGCTAGGGTGTTAACCCGCTATGCCACAGCGCCAGCCCCTGGCCTTAAAGTTTTGATAGTTGAAATGTGGTGAACATTCATTCCTCTCTGGATCACAGTTTTCCCAACTGTAAAATGGGGTTGAGCATTAATTTCCTTAATTTTTTTTTTTTGAAGATATATTTATTTGCAAGGCAGTTAGAGAGAAGGAGAGACAGAGAGAGAAGGGTTTTCCATCTGCTGGATCACTTCCCAAAGGGCCACAAAGATCAGGGCTGGGTTAGGCCAAAGCCAGGAGCCAGGAGCTTCTTTCAGGTTTCCTATGTGGATGTAGGGGCCCAAGCACTTGGGCCATCTTTCACTGCTTTCCCAGGCACATTAGCAGGGAGCTAGATCAGAAGAGGAACAGCTGGGACTTGAACCAGTGCTCTTATGGGATGCTGGCCAGGTGGTGGCTTAACTTGCTATGCTGCAGTGCAAGCCTTATAAACACTAATTTCTTTATCAATAATATTTGCTCACTTTATCTCTGCCCTAGGTAGACAGCATTTGTACATAAATCAGTGAATCAAGATGCTTACTTTAGTTGGAAAAAAGCAAATTTAATTTACATTTTCCTTAACAAATGAAATGTTTTTTCTTTGTTGGCAGTCAGGCCAGGAGGGAGAAGACAAAGACTCTTGATTACTTCTGGCTTGTAAATAATTGGGGCTACTTATATACTGGTGAAGTTAAAGAATAAATTCTGTGTGACAACAGAGAGAGGGTTACATTTTCCTAGAGAAAATGGAAGTTTTTAAAAGTCAGAAAATGATGAAAGAATTCATTGCACACTAGCCAGAGTACTTTCATAATGATGATATTCAATAAAAAGCAAAATTTGTTTGGAAAGAAAAAAGTAAAAGTAGTACAAAAAGAGTCATTAATTCTGGTGATGGGAGGGAGAGAGAAAGCTCTGGGTGGGAGGAATGCAAAATGGATGGGAAAATAGGAAGAAAGATACATGGATGGATGGATGGATGGATGGAAGGAGGGAGAGGGAAATCAGTCTTCAAAATACAGTTTCCACTTTTATTGAAAGCCAATACGTTGACTCAGAGCCCTGCCTCCTGAATTACATGTAGCAAAACATCCCATTTTTCACCTTTCTTAATGACTGCAATAAAAATGATAGTCTCTGCCTTCAGCCCGATCTCTGCCTTGGACTCAGTTTTTTAACAGGGTGTTTGTATTTCCTGTTTTGCATGCCTTCAAAGAATTCATTGCACTTTCTAATGTCACCAAGTGCTTTTTTCCACTTAAGATTCGGTGGCATTGCCGTTCTGAATGGCTTCCTAGTGATTTACCTGCCAAGTGAGCTCTCTTCCTGCTGCATTACTCAGTCCCACTATTGTGGGGAAAGGACAGCCTGGATTGTCTCCGGGAATAGTCTGCCTCTGTTTCTACCAAACCAAAGCGCATTTTCTTTTGTTTGTACACAAACTACTGACAGATTTCAAGATAATGCAAGGTTATTCCTGCATTTTCTAAAGAGGAAGGATATAGAGATCTAGAAGTGATGTTGTTCTTTTACAATACAAAATAAGCCAGCTATCTGCCCTGGAAGACCAGGTTGAATCCTGTCTCTTATATGTTAATTTCCCCATTTTAGCTTTCTTTTATCTAGTAGGGAATTAAAGGAAATTGTTCCATAATTTCATCAGAGATTCTTGTGGTTTCCAAAACTTTAGACTTATTTATCCTACCTCCCCTTGTAGATAGAAGCATTCTGTTTTTTGTTGTTGTTTAGAGATTTATTTATTTATTTGAAAGGCAGAGTTAGAGAGAGAGAAGGAGAGTCAGAAAGAGATGTTTGATCCACTGGTTTATGCCCCAAATATCCTAAACCTCTGGAGCTGGGCCAGTGTGGAGCCAAGAATCAGGAGCTTCTTCTGGGTTTTCCATGAGGGTGACAGGGGCCCAAACACTTAGGCCATCCTTCGCTGCTTTCTCAGGCACATTAGCAGGGAGCTGGATTGGAAGTAGCTGGGACTCCCGTGGGTGCCTATGTGGGGTGCCGGCACTGCAGACCTAACCTGCTGTGCCACACGCTGGCCCCATTGTGTGTTTATATACAATTATTGTGAAACAACTTTCAAATTGGTAGCACTGAGTAATTCCATGAATAGTTTTACCCTGATTAATGGTTGACGTAGGAAATCTCATAAAGTCTGGAAGCCGATATCAAGGAAAAATGTTTTTACCGAAGCCAGATTTAAAGTGTAAGCAGTCAGACCCCCATCGTCATTGTTACCCTAAACTGAAGCAGCAGGATTCCCCTCCCCCATTCCAATCTTAGCTATAGTCTCGCCATATCAACACAGGCATTATTTCACTAATCCTCACAAAACTCATCAAATGTTTCAGTACGTGTGTGCTTCTTCCTGAGAAATAATTTTAGTACAGTTTTGAAAAAGACATGTTAGAAACAGAAACTCTTGTGAGATGGGTAAGCCAGGCTCCCTGGACAAACTATTCCCGCCCTCTGCCTCTCCCCATTGAAGACGGCAGGCAGAGGCAAGGTAGGGGTAAGTTCATCATTGTCGTGATCCCTGGCGCGAGACAAGTAGGAGGCTCAGCCCGAGTCACTGCAGGAGGCTGTGGAAAGAAGGCCGGTGCAGGCCGTGGGGAATGGGGGGCCTGATCTGAGTACAGGTTACAGCGGTTGTGGGAGGATCCAGTTATCGCCCCACCATCGAGTTCAACCAACCAGGTCCCGGGGGCAGCCCCCACACCCTCCACTCCTGCCCTGCCACAGCTGGTGAGCCCCAAGGCCTGCAGTACAGTGGGCAGGTCCCGGCTCTCACTTCACTCCCACCATTGCCATCCAGTCACTTCTCGCCTCAGTCCTTCATCTCAGCTGAGCCCCCTCGTCCCTTCTCCTGAGTTTGAGTTCAAGTACGAACCCAGTTGGACCACTCGTTAGTCCCTCTCCTTTGTTCTTAACACAAGTCCCAAAATCTTCCCCCTGGTGACTTTCTCTGCTCCTGGTGTGAACTCCAGGTGCAGTACCTCTGTACCGTTGCCCTGCCCCACCACATCCCAACCTAATTCCTTCTTTTCCACTCCCTCTCTCGAAGAAACCATCCAAGTCCAATTTTGAAACTTGCTGGGAAAAAATATATGGCCAACCTTAGACTTTGGTTTAGACACAATTGGGTAATTAAAGTGAGTATGATTTATAGAGCTGAGATTCCTTATGGGGTGCTTCCTGAAGACTTGAATGTAAAGAAAAAAATAAATTTGAAGAAAAAATGAATTAGAAAAATTGAGGAGCATATTGCAGTTTAATAACTGCCGCGGCTCACTAGGCTAATCCTCCGCCTTGCGGCGCTGGCACACCGGGTTCTAGTCCCGGTCGGGACACCGGATTCTGTCCCAGTTGCCCCTCTTCCAGGCCAGCTCTCTGCTGTGGCCAGGGAGTGCAGTGGATGATGGCCCAAGTGCTTGGGCCCTGCACCCCATGGGAGACCAGGAGAAGCACCTGGCTCCTGCCATCGGCTCAGCACGGTGCGCTGGCCGCAGCGCGCTGGCCGCAGTGGCCATTGGAGGGTGAACCAATGACAAAGGAAGACCTTTCTCTCTGTCTCTCTGACTGTCCACTCTGCCTGTCAAAAATAAATAAATAAATAAATAAATAACTGTTTCTTGACTTAGCAATTCAAACTTACCTGCAAAAACTATTGTCAGAAGAGACCAATAGTCTGTCCTTTTTACTCTTTTAAAATTGCAGTTGAAATCTGGAGAGACAGCTGCCAACATTGCCAGAGAGCTGGCTGAACAGACAAGAAATCATTTGAATGCTGGGGACATCACCTACTCAGTGCGTGCCATGGACCAACTGGTAGGCCTCCTCGATGTGCAACTCAGGAACTTGACCCCAGGTGGAAAAGACAGTGCTGCCCGCAGTTTGAACAAGGTAAGGACCTCAGTTGATGTATCTTTAAAGTTGTAACACAATCAGTGAAACTTCTTAGCTTAATTTTTCCTCCTTAGAATCAGATCGTTCTAAAGAGAGTGGATACATTCCATTCACTGCACTATTTCATTATACTAAAGGCACTATCTGGCTTTTAATCTAAAGAAACAATAAATCATAACCTCTCTATATACATTTTGATTTTATGATTCCATTTTCCAAAGCAGTTGTTCTGGGTTTTATGCAAAATTATAATAGGATTGATTAATGTGGATTAATGAAATTTTTTTTTCTTCCAAACCTTTATGTCAGAACATTGGACAATAAATTGTCTAATCAATATGTAGGAATTTAGAGAATTGCAGTAAAAGAATATTAATAACCCAATACAGATAATTTTAAAGTATACAATTTAACCTAATTAATATTACTTTAAAAATTCATAGAACAAGCAATTTTTAATCTTAACTTCCATTTGGTTTTTAGATTACTGAGATTTCACATCATAACCATTAAAATTTTTAAAACTTCTGTGTATTTCCATAAATATAAATTGTAAGCAATGAAAATTATTCTTCAAGTTTCAGGAAGACACATTTTATGAATTTTTGTTCACATTTACATAAATAAAATGTTCCATCTACATAAATTATAAACAAGCTAACCATTTTATTGATATAAAATGTGAAATCTACATATTTATAAGGAAATCAGTTATTTATGAAATAAACCACCACATGGTGAATCAATCTTATGGTGGAAAAATATGAGAATGCTGCTATCGATTGACACGTGTTCCCTGAGTAGCATTTGTGTAGTAGAGATGCTCAGTAATTGAAAAGGAGTTTTAGGGCCTTGAATAGTATGATAGTCTTACTACTTAAAGAAAGAATTTGACAGTGACAGATTAGTGGCCCTCTATGGAATTCACTAAAAGAATATTCTACTTTAGAATTAAAAAAAAAGACTTTGCAGAGTTGTCTTTTAATATATTTAGTCCTCTGTCTCATTGGGATAAGAATCTCACTCGTCAAAATGGAAAAAAAAAATCTAATAATGATTGTTCAATACAGAAAAGCCAGATAGTTGATTGGGGAAGAATTTTTCCTTGCAATTTCATCTTTAGAAAACAGGTACAGTTTAATCCATTAAGATATAAACTATTAATGTGTTTTTCTTACCAAGCATAAAGGAATTATTTTTGTCACGTGTGCCCTGATAGAATCATTAGGAAGACCCTGATAGAATGTTATCCACAGCTGCCTATATAATCTGGGTGTGCTGTGATTTTAATGTGTTACTACCCAGGCCTGCTGGATCCTAGGAATGCATATTGCTTTTAGCTGTTGTTACCATAATGTAATGAAAGTGGTGATTTCTGTTAATGTTACATATCCATAACATGACTTGTTATAGCAATACTTTGTATCGTTATCTAAAAATAGTGTTGATGTCTGACATTATCAGGTAGAGTTGGCAATTAATGTCATATTCTAACTGGCTACAGCTAATGAGCTTGCCTACCCTGAATATCAAATAACTACATAATGGGCAAATTTCCATTTGTGAAGCTTTTTAATGCTCTCTTTTGTTTCCCATTTGGCTCTTTTCAATTGTTTATATAATATGGTCGTCATATGTTAATTTGCATGATGGGGTACTGAGAAGGGGTGGGGCAAAGGGTACTCATGTGCTTGCTGGCTTTCTCACATTTCCTGTGGTTCCTGCCTTCCCTAAAGCAGTTATAACCCATCAGATCTGCAAAGTCAACTAGGTACAAATCAATTGTGCTCCACATTGAAATTCTGGAGGGCTTAGAGTCCTACAAACCATGATGTGAGTCAGTGATCCAAGTGACAGCCCTGGCAATTTACTTGCACTCATTCCTCACTTAATTCTTTAGAGGAGTAACTGCTCTCTGTGCGTTGAAGAATGCATCAGTTAGAACTGCAAGAGTATTAGCCTCACAGAAGGCTTCAGAGTGACTGCTTCTGAAATCTGGATAATTTTCTCTTGCAACATTCAAGGCTACTGAAAGGCAAAAAAAAAAAAAAAAAAAAAAAAGGAAAGAGGAGAAAATCCACAATCTGGCTTATAAAATCTTGGGTCATTTATTTAACCATGGTGAATAAACTATTATTTCATTTTAGCACCACAAAAAAAAATGTGGGACTGAATATGAGCCGCTGTCAATCCTTTGCCTAGAAAAACATCATTCTGTTTGCAAACCAACTTATTCCACCAAAGTTTCTAAAATGTATAATTTTTTTTGGCTGAAACTGTCTAAAGATTTTTTTTAAGTGGTGATATAGCAGGAGATTAATCACATTCTTTTAATCTGAAGTTATTTATTTCTTCAAGGTTTTTTTTTTTTTTTCCACCTTAGAATCAAATAGTTATAATGAATGGGCATTTCTATTTTCCTGATAAATAGAACTTTTTATTTGTATGAACAAATATGTGATTTGTGGTACTCATTAATCATCTATATTATTTGAAAACCACAAATAATCTATGATCTTTAAAAAATAGATTCCAAACTTTGGACATCATTCACTTTTAATTTCATGTATATCTTTACATTTGTGGCCCATCAGTTAATAACTAGCCTGATGTGAAATGGATCATTTCCAATGGATGTGGCATATTGATTTTGACTAGTGTCTACTAAGTGTATTCCAAGGTCTCTCTCCATCCTTAACAGCTTTATCCCATCCAGTTTTCACTCGGGTTGTTCTGACAGAGTGCCGGCTGCTCTCGTCAAGCCATTGCCTCCATTCTGCTACCGCTTAGCTGTCATGTTCTCCTAGGAGGTAGTGGACAACAAATTAAGGTGTTTTGTGTAGATGTGTTCTTTTATTTTTCTTGTTTTCTCCTGTTACTAACTTGTTTTTTCTATTCTGTGTTTAATCTGCTGTCTTAATGGATTCAGCTTCAGAAAAGGGAACGCTCTTGCAGAGCCTATGTCCAGGTACTTTCTGTGTTTTATGTCTTACGTTATTGAATTGTCTCTGTTGATGATAGCACGTGTGGACTTCTGATGGAAAAAGATCATGTTCTATCATCATTCTGGTCGATAATTGAACGAAAGGGGCTTCAGGGTGGGTGTGCAGGGTGGGGATGGGAAGACATTATAAGAGTGTGTGCAGAAAAGAAATTTCATACCCAATGCTCTGTGAAACAAGGGGACACAGACTAAGAAGGAGGTACAACTTGAGGTGTGCACATGTTGATCATCTCTGAGAGGTGAGTTCTGTATAATGTATCATCCCTGTTTGTTCATGGAGGTGGATAAGAAAACATTTCAAGTTTTCATTGGCTGGGCCAATATTTGAAGAGCAAATAATTCAGAAATGCCACTCAGGCAGAATCAAGTGCCTAATAAATAGTCCACAGTAATTGGAATGATGTGCTTTCTGGTCCAAAATGGAACTGTTCATTGGTTCAAGACTTGGAACTTTTCTTAAACTCTCATTGCAGAAACATTATTCCTACTGTACATGTGAGCCTTATGCAGCTTGCATGATTTGCTTTTAGTTTTTTTAAGCACTGACTTATGTCCATGTTTAGGGCTTTGTGGGATGGAGAGCAATCCCAGAAACGAACCCCCTATTGTTTGTTTTACAAGAAGAGAAAAAAGGAATGAAGAAAAGAGAGTAGGAAGAAAATGAAAAACTATGGGACTGTCGACTTTTTTCTCTACACGTACAAATCACAGCCTATTTAAAGAGGCTGTCTAGTGCGTTTATGAAGAGATGCCCTCAACAAGCAAGTCAATGGTTATGAGAGTGGCAGTTCAGTAACTATATCTTGTCATTTTACTTAAAATTAAGATAATATTGGTGCATTGGCTTTTCTTAACCAAACTCTTTACAAATTAGGTTAATCTAAGTATGAAATACCAGTTCGTTCACTTACACCTTTCCAATCATCTGAATATTCACATCAACAGTCTTGGGTAGTGTGGAATTGTTAACAATCTACAATTAGGCAATTAGCGAGCATAAAACTGTAGCAAAAGGAAGTAGCTGTCCTTGAGGCAAGGTTATTCAGGTTGTAAAAAACACAATTCAGTAAACATTTTAATTTATGAGCATATCTGTATGCCAGCTATCGTCATTCTTCCAGCTCTCCCAGTTTTAAATCCCATATATGAAATCCTTCATTTCATCAACAGTTATTGCCGAACAAAGCAAGGAGAGTTCCTGCCCTCGGAGTGTACCATCTTGTATATAGTACTGATTAATTATGTTAGTACATTTGCACTTTAGATTAGGTAATGTCTGTTGAGTAAATTCACCTTTCTTAGTTATACCACTGTTCAGCGAATGTATCCTGGTCACTTTCAATGGATGTGGTGTTTATGAAGTCTCCTTAGCAATATAAGAATCCATTACAATTGGTTCCTGTTAGTCAGTTGCATTTGGACGGCCAGACTTGTTCATTAATGCCAATTCTGTACCAGAGGAAAGATCTCTTTCCTTACTCATCATTAACTTTTGCCTGAGCCCCCTGTAACCCATGACAGATTAACAAGATAAAAGCATACAGATTTATTTAATATTTTTTTTTTTTTGTGATGTGGGCATTTGGAAATGAAGACCTAAAGAAACAAGGAAAGTTGTGTATTTTTAGACTTAGGTTTGATAAAGAATGGAAAGTCATGGAGAAATGTATTTGGACAAAGGCGTAATGATCGTGTGGTAATAATCTGGGACACATGGCAGGGTCTGTTTGGATTTGTCTTGGCATCTCTGTGCTCTTGGCTCCTTTCCTCTGGGTATAGTGGGGCACCCAGGATATTGTGACCTGCATCAGCCAGGGCCAGGAGAAGAGGTGTCAGAAAAGTCTTCCTTGGTTTTATGAGCTGGTTCAGGGGTGAGAGGTTGGGAAGAGTAACCTTCTTATTTCTACTATTTTCTCCTATGCCATGGTGCCATATTTGGGGATAGTTTACCCTCTGTCCCATCAGTTCTTACTACTTTTACCCTCAGGATTCTTACATAAAATGAATAATTGAAAAAAATAATTGCTTTTCTGTGAGTTTCATCCTGAGTGTGAAGAGAGATATCTTCCATGTGCGGGTTCACTCCCCAAACGCCAACAACAGCCAGAGCTGACAGGCCAAAGCCAGAAGCCCAGAACTCAGTCTGGCTCTCTCACATGCGTGGGAAGCCACCATCTGCTGCCTCCCAAGTGTGCATTAGCAGGAACCTGGAATTCAGAGTAGAGACAGAACTTGGACCCGGGAACTCCAATATGGGATGTGGGCATCCCAAGCAGCATCTTAACTACTGCTCAGAACGCCTGCCCTGGAAAACAAGTTTTTAATTTGACTTTTACGTTTTGAAGTGCTGATTTTTGTGCATAAAAGTTGTTGTAGATGTACTTTCTATGATTTGTGGGAGGAAATTACTTTGAGAGGTACACTATTTATGGTATATATGTTTAAGGACGTAGGACATACACTCATACATACGATCTGTACTTCTAGTGTGTGCAGTGAGTAGAGGAACTGAAATACTCGTCAGCACTGAAGGCTGAAGACCATTTCTGAGTAGTATTAGGGTTGTTTTGGATTGCAGTCTATGCTATCCTTTTAATGGGGCCTTGGGGATAATTAGCCTTTCTGTATTTAAAACTATGAAATGCATGGTCATTCAAACATGAATCTCTGATGGAAAATTAATAGCACAGTTTATTCAATGGCTGATTTCCTGGTGTTATAATTGCCTGGTTGTGAATAAATGTCTCAGCTATTGACTAAACATCTGATAAGGCCAAATACAAACAGAGTAGAATACTGGTGAAGCAGAAATGCTGTGCTCAGTAACTCATGGCACTCTTCTGTTCCTCTTAGTAGCATTATCCCATGAATTCCAGAGTGAATAATACATTTCATTTTAGTCTCTGAATTTTAAAGGCTAGTTTTATATTCTCTATTGTTTGTATATTCAGAGCACATTCAGAGCTATCTATGAAATATGTAGGAAATACACTTGAAGCACTTTGTGTATTAAATTTGAAATAAAGTGGTTGTTTTTGAACTTCTTAAAAAATAGGGTCTTTCCATAGGCACAGACAATAATTCCTGAAGGGTTGATTTGACCATTAAAATTCATTTAGTTTTCAATTATTTAGAGGTTCAGTTTATATTTTATGAATTACCTCGATCCATCTTTGACATTTTTTTTGCTTCCTACAACTTGTTTATTTCACATACACATAAAAGCCCAATGGAATCTGAAATATCAATTGTAATAACCGACCTGTAGTTTAGCAATTAACAGTTAATTGGGTAAGATTTTTAAGAATAAAATGAATCTCCTAAAAGTCACTATACCTGAATCCCAAGAGTTTTAACATCACAAAACAATTAAATCCAATATATTTTATTTTTTTTTCACTTGGTTATATTTTAGATGGCACTAAAATCTTTGTTGGCTACCACAAGAAAGAAATTGGTATGTTTTTGTCATACTACATGCCATTTTCTTTTCTTGGGCAAAATACCTTCACTTAAGTAGAGTTTTTTTTTTAAGTTTTATGCCAGAAAAGATAAGGAAAGCTTGGGTTTTACATGCATATTAAGCTGCTACTATGATGTAATATCACCAGAACTGATCTGCCATGTGAAGATGGGCCAGCACAGACCGAATGACCAGCCCATGTCAACACAGGCAGCACTAATGGCCCTGCTGCTACCCTCCTGACAGGTGTCCCCTGATGCTTCAACACTTGATTAAGAATCATAATGATTTATTGGTATGAATAAATAGGGGAGACCTAATGATTAAGAAACCAGTTAAAACACCCACATCAGAGTACCTCGGTTTGATTTCCAGCACCAGTTCTGATTTCAGTTTCTGATCAATGTGTACCCTGGGAGGCAGCAGTGATGGATCAGATAATTGGGTTCCTGCCTCCCCCATGGGAGACCTGGATAGAGTTCCCAGCTCCTGATTTTGGCCTGGCCTAGTCTCTGTTGTTGTGGGCATTTGAGGAATGAACTAGGGAATGGGAGCTTTCTTCTATCGTCTGTCTGTCTCTGTCTCTCTGTCACTCAAATAAAGAAATGTAATTTTAAAAGATAGAATAAGTACATTGTGTAGGCAGTAGGTATGTGGGTATGTGCCCACTGTGGTGCAGAACAATTGACATGCATTCTTATTTAATATTCCTATCAGCTGCATGATAGAGTTATTGTAGTTTTTAATAGAAAATTTGGCCCAAGGAGAGTTACATGACTTTCACACTATCATGCAGTAAGTGAGAGGTCTCTGAATTCAGAGCTACATATCTGTGATGGAGAAACTTCTGCTCCTATTCCCTGAAACACTGCAGTGGCAGGGCGGGCTCATTTTTTGGTAGTAGGAGATAGGATACATAGTTTGGCTTATATTTATTGATTTTGTTTGCACTAAATTTCAGGGATGGAGTAGAGTAACACTCTTTTTGAGACTGTGGTCAAATGGCTGAGTGGTTATAATTTTGTATTGCTATATCAAAGTCAAGTACAAATACAATTTTTCTGAAGTCCTGTTATTTTCCAAGGAGACTTTGATAATCATCTTTGGGCATTTGGCAGAGTGGTTAAGATGCCACTTGGGATGACCACATTTAATAATAAAGTGCCTTAATTCAAGTCCTGGCCCCACTTCCAATTCCAGCCTCCTGCTAATGCAAACCTTGGGAGGAGCTGGTGATGGCTGAAGTGGTTGGGTCCTTGCCCTCAATGCAAGAGACCTGGTTTGAGTTCCTGGCTCCTGGCTTCTCTCTGGCCTACACCCAGCCATTGAGGGCATTTGGGGAGTGAGACTTTGCCTACAAAGTTGAGCTTTCTCTTTCTTACAAATAAATAATTTTTAAAACTAATTAATGGATACTGAAAATGTGGTTCATATATGTAAGGAAGTTCTGTTCAGCCACAAAAGGGATGAAATTCTATCATTTACAGCAACATACATGGAA